CTGGAGGCAGCCTATATACGACGAATGAAACCAGATCTTTGTAAACAATTGGAGCACGTGGTTAACCTAACATTACCATGGTAGCCTCTGGCTCCATGATTCCCCCTCTCTCCTCTCATTTTTGCTCTTTAACGTTTCCTTCCTTTTCACTTTCTTCCCCTACGGCGTTTGTGTTATTAACTTTATCGATTAGCCAACTTTGCCCAAAACCCTAACCTTGCTGTTTCTGCATCGATTTTCTGCATGAATTCAAATCTGTTGTATTGTTCTCACTCGTTATCCCTCTTATGAAGCGACAGGAAGCAGCTGAAGAGCAGTCGCGAAATTTTTTGGTGCCAATTAATCCTGCTGTTCTTGCCTACTTCAGCTTCGTACCAAGGACAAAATGCTTCAAATTTTTAAAACAACATCTCCCCTTAGAAATTGTAAAGTCTCTGGAGAGGCTTTTGCAATTGTGGTGCCGAATAACGAAAGAAAATACACGAATTGAATTTTTGCAGAATTGCATAAACAACAAGGAATATCCAGCTGAGTTTTACAAGATGTTGCGTCGGGGGAAATTACGTCCTTCTCTCAAAAACCTCGACCGTCTTGCGCAATCGAAAATAGAGGACTGCATTGAATTGGTCGGCTGCAACAAATCCCGCCTACATCAGATGAGACATGTTCTTGACAAGATAAGTTTCTGTTGTTGGTCTTTGTTCATGAAACATGCATGTACCATACAAAAGAGGACTAGGGAATCAATTCGCCTTAAGTTATTGAAGTCAATTAGCAAGAAACCTACTGAGGATATATTTCCATTGAACGCAAAAGACCTTATTTATAATCTGTCTGACATTAAACTTACTAAACTGCAAACAGAGGCTCTGTCGTTAGGACTTGATTTCTGTGTTCCTAACAAAAGGATTAATCCTGTTGAAATTGAAGCGCAATTTGAGGACTTGAATTCTCAATTATCTGAGTTAATACCTAGATCTTCTCACGACGTTAGCTGGCTGAAAGCAAAATTTGTTGATATTTCGCACCAGTACCGCAGAGCTCCAATAACACAACGTACACCTATAACTAAAGAACACATGACTGCTTTGTCCGCCTTAAAGCATCATAAGCAAATAATAATTTCGAAACCTGACAAGGGGCATGGGGTTGTCATTCTAAATCGCAGTGACTACGTGACAAAAATGGAGGCTATTTTACGTGATCAGAGTAAATTCCGTTTAGAAACGTCGGGAAAGGAAGAAACCAAGGCATTGGAGGATTCCGCCTGGAAGACAATTAAAAAGTTGCCAAACAACAATCTGTTAGACTCCAAAACAGTGTTTTGCCTAAAACCTTGGGGTTCATATACTCCCAGACTTTATGGATTACCAAAAACGCATAAAAGGGATATACCCCTACGACCAATTTTATCTATGTATAATTCCCCTTTTCACAAACTAGCACAGTGGCTAGTCAAGGAATTAGAGCCAATCCGACGACGTTTTTCTACTTACACGCTAAAAGACAGCTTCCACTTCATTGAAGAAATCAAAAATCAAGACATTTTTGGCAAATACATGATATCCCTGGATGTAGAATCTCTTTTCACTAACGTACCTCTAGATGAGACAATAGACATAATATGCACCCATGCATCAGAAACTCGTCTGCCACCGGAAACACTACGAGACGCATTAAAATTGTGTACAAAGAACGTTCAATTTCTCTTTAATAGCCAATTATATAGACAAATTGACGGAGTGGCCATGGGGAGTCCCCTTGGCCCTACCTTTGCTGACATCTTTATGGGTCATCTAGGAGAAAAAGTGTCTACCAAATTAAATAAGCTGCCATTCTACAAAAGATACGTGGATGATGTTTTCGCTATTGTTAAAGACATTAAGGAGGCTGAAGAACTACTTTCTATTATGAATAAGCTGCATCCAAAGATCAAATTTACAATGGAGAAGGAACAAGACAACCAGCTATCCTTTCTGGATGTTCTTATGT